CTACCCCAAGATGTTGAGAGTAACGTTCGACAGCCTTTTCAAGTCATCTGCGCAATCCACTGCTTTATGCGATAAGCTGAGAAGTAAGAACAAGGTCCTCATGTCGCTAGCCGGCAGTGCATGGGGCGCTGACAAAGAAACCTTGTTGACCTCATATAAAGCAATAGGCCGGTCAGTGATAAGCTATGCGGCGCCAGTGTGGTTCGCGAATGTTAGTGATACGCAGTGGAAGAATATCCAGACCTGCCAGAACGCTGCCCTGAGAACTGCAACAGGGTGTCTCCTCATGACTCCTGTGGACCATTTTCATGAGGAGACGAAGATCTTACCTGTCCATCGTCACAATTATATATTATCGATGCAGTACTTGCTTGGGTGATATCGTCGGGAACATCCCTGCCATAGTCTTATGGACGTCCGACGAGATCTTCATGATCTAGAGAGAGAGAGGTTCAAAGGTACAAGCGTGAACCCCAAGACCAAGAAGCCTATCGAGCAGGTCTGAATGATATTCACACGGACGCAACCGCTCAGGTAGTAGAGCAATATCGCGTGAATACCACAATTGGAGACCACCCCCCATCCATCGCAGCAGAGGAGAAGCAGCTGCCAAGGCAAACACGAGTAGTCTTAGCTCAACTAAGATCAGGATGATCCAACCGCCTCAGTTCATATTGGGCAAGAATTGACGACACGTTGCACCTCTTCAACTGCCAGCTAAGCCGACTCACCTATCGCCAAATTCGCTTTGGACGCAACCCATTCAAGTTGCAATTTTCTTGAATTTGGAGTTGTAGGAAGCAGAACCAGTCGATGAGTGACACACTACATGTATTCTGTTGCTACAACAACAACAATAACATTTTCAATCGAAACATTTGTATCTGAAACAAATGCATTTGACACAATGTATCTACGGTTTGTATCTGTTAGGGTTGAATGAGTATCTCGTAGATACTATTTGGTATACAGAAACTTTCTCTAGCAACATGTTTATGCGGATATATGTTGCAGATACATGTTTATGTTGATTTAATGTTGCAGATACTTTGAATACAGTTGACCGTAGACAATGTAGCCAAGAAGAACAGTGGTTTGGATACACTGAAATGCAAAAAGGGTTGATTCATCTAAGGAATACTTTTGAAGGGAACATAAAAAAAGTTGGAAATTTTTTTAAGTGGTTGGTAAACTCAACCAAACCGAACTATCTATACCCCGACACTGACTAGACGATACTAACTCTTTATGGTTTGCCGGTCGGTCCGACATTCGGTATATGCGAGTTTATGGTACCTGGCTGAGTGGTTTCAGATTATTTGCATTTTTGCCCTTTTTTGTTTTCGGCTATTTCGAAGAGAGGCATAAGAAAATCTCTTTTGGTAGTACAATTTCGCTTTGTGGCTATTAACCCTAAACAATATCAACATACTCGGCTTATTTGAAACATATTTTTAGGAGGATCCCAATAACCGTAGATTATTTGAAGAATATTTTTAGAGGACCTCAGTATGCGTGGATTTCTTAGAGAATACTTTTAGGAGTGCTATCAATAAGCGTTGATTTTTTAAAGAATATTTTTAGGAGAACCTCAGGAACATAAGAGTGGATTTTTTAAAAAATATTTTTAGGAGAACCTCAGGAACATAAGCGTGGATTTTTTAAAGAATATTTTTAGGAGGACCTTAGGGACATAGGCGTGGATTTTTTAAAGTATATTTTTAGGAGGACCTTAGGGACATAGGCGTGGATTTTTTAAAGAATATTTTTAGGAGGACCTCAGTAAGCGTGGATTTTTTAAAGAATATTTTTAGGAGGACCACAGTAAGCGTGGATTTTTTAAAGAATATTTTTAGGAGGACCTTAGGGACATAGGCGTGGATTTTTTAAAGAATATTTTTAGGAGGACCTCAGTAAGCGTGGATTTTTTAAAGAATATTGTTAGGAGGACCTCAGTAAGCGTGGATTTTTTAAAGAATATTTTTAACAGGACCTTATGAAGCGTGGATTTTTTAAAGAATATTTTTAGGAGGACCTAAGGAACATAAGCGTGGATTTTTTCAAAGAATAGTTTTAGGAGGACCTCAGTAAGCGTGGATTTTTAAAGAATATTTTTAGGAGGAACTTAAGAAGCGTGGATTTTTTTAAAGAATATTTTTAGGAGGACATTAGGTACATGGATTTTTAAAGAATATTTTTAGGAGGACATTAGGTACATGGATTTTTTAAAGAATATTTTTAGGAGGACATTAGGTACATGGATTTTTAAAGAATATTTTTAGGAGGACATTAGGTACATGGATTTATTAAAGAATATTTTTAGGAGGGCTATCACAGGCGTGGATTTATTAAACAATTTTTTAGGAGGGCTATCACAGGCGTGGATTTATTAAAGAATATTTTTAGGAGGACATTAGGAACATGGATTTTTAAAGAATATTTTTAGGAGGAACTTAAGAAGCGTGGATTTTTTAAAGAATATTTTTAAGAGGACATTAGGAACATGGATTTTTTAAAGAATATTTTTGGGAGGAACTCAGGAACATAAGCGTGGATTTTTTAAAGAATATTTTTGGGAGGAACTCAGGAACATAAGCGTGGATTTTTTAATGAATATTTTTGGGAGGAACTCAGGAACATAAGCGTGGATTTTTTAAAGAATATTTTTGGGAGGAACTCAGGAACATAAGCGTGGATTTTTTAAAGAATATTTTTAGGAGGAACTCAGGAACATAAGCGTAGATTTTTTAAAGAATATTTTTAGGAGGAACTCAGGAACATAAGCGTGGATTTTTTAAAGAATATTTTTAGGAGGAACTCAGGAACATAAGCGTGGATTTTTTAAAGAATATTTTTAGGAGGAACTCAGGAACATAAGCGTGGATTTTTTAAAGAATATTTTTAGGAGGAACTCAGGAACATAAGCGTGGATTTTTTAAAGAATATTTTTAGGAGGAACTCAGGAACATAAGCGTGGATTTTTTAAAGAATATTTTTAGGAGGAACTCAGGAACATAAGCGTGGATTTTTTAAAGAATATTTTTAGGAGGAACTCAGGAACATAAGCGTGGATTTTTTAAAGAATATTTTTAGGAGGAACTCAGGAACATAAGCGTGGATTTTTTAAAGAATATTTTTAGGAGGAACTCAGGAACATAAGCGTGGATTTTTTAAAGAATATTTTTAGGAGGAACTCAGGAACATAAGCGTGGATTTTTTAAAGAATATTTTTAGGAGGAACTCAGGAACATAAGCGTGGATGTTTTAAAGAATATTTTTAGGAGGAACTCAGGAACATAAGCGTGGATTTTTTAAAGAATATTTTTAGGAGGAACTCAGGAACATAAGCGTGGATTTTTTAAAGAATATTTTTAGGAGGAACTCAGGAACATAAGCGTGGATTTTTTAAAGAATATTTTTAGGAGGAACTCAGGAACATAAGCGTGGATTTTTTAAAGAATATTTTTAGGAGGAACTCAGGAACATAAGCGTGGATTTTTTAAAGAATATTTTTAGGAGGAACTCAGGAACATAAGCGTGGATTTTTTAAAGAATATTTTTAGGAGGAACTCAGGAACATAAGCGTGGATTTTTTAAAGAATATTTTTAGGAGGAACTCAGGAACATAAGCGTGGATTTTTTAAAGAATATTTTTAGGAGGAACTCAGGAACATAAGCGTGGATTTTTTAAAGAATATTTTTAGGAGGAACTCAGGAACATAAGCGTGGATTTTTTAAAGAATATTTTTAGGAGGAACTCAGGAACATAAGCGTGGATTTTTTAAAGAATATTTTTAGGAGGAACTCAGGAACATAAGCGTGGATTTTTTAAAGAATATTTTTAGGAGGAACTCAGGAACATAAGCGTGGATTTTTTAAAGAATATTTTTAGGAGGAACTCAGGAACATAAGCGTGGATTTTTTAAAGAATATTTTTAGGAGGAACTCAGGAACATAAGCGTGGATTTTTTAAAGAATATTTTTAGGAGGAACTCAGGAACATAAGCGTGGATTTTTTAAAGAATATTTTTAGGAGGAACTCAGGAACATAAGCGTGGATTTTTTAAAGAATATTTTTAGGAGGAACTCAGGAACATAAGCGTGGATTTTTTAAAGAATATTTTTAGGAGGAACTCAGGAACATAAGCGTGGATTTTTTAAATAATATTTTTAGGAGTAACTCAGTAACATAAGCGTGGATTTTTTAAAGAATATTTTTAGGAGTAACTCAGTAACATAAGCGTGGATTTTTTAAAGAATATTTTTAGGAGGAACTCAGGAACATAAGCGTGGATTTTTTAAAGAATATTTTTAGGAGGAACTCAGAAACATAAGCGTGGATTTTTTAAAGTATATTTTTAGGAGGACATTAGGAACATAAGCGTGGATTTTTTAAAGTATATTTTTAGGAGGACATTAGGAACATAAGCGTGGATTTTTTAAAGTATATTTTTAGGAGGACATTAGGAACATAAGCGTGGATTTTTTAAAGTATATTTTTAGGAGGACATTAGGAACATAAGCGTGGATTTTTTAAAGTATATTTTTAGGAGGACATTAGGAACATAAGCGCGGATTTTTTAAAGTATATTTTTAGGAGGACATTAGGAACATAAGCGTGGATTTTTTAAAGTATATTTTTAGGAGGACATTAGGAACATAAGCGTGGATTTTTTAAAGTATATTTTTAGGAGGACCATCGACAAACTTGGATTTTTAAAAAATAATTTTAGGAGGACCATCGACAAACTTGGATTTTTAAAAAATAATTTTAGGAGGACCATCGACAAACTTCGATTTTTAAAAAATAATTTTAGGAGGACCATCGACAAACTTGGATTTTTAAAAAATAATTTTAGGAGGACCATCGACAAACTTGGATTTTTAAAAAATAATTTTAGGAGGACCACCAATCAGCTTTGATTTTTAAAAAATATTTTTAGGAGGACCACCAATAGGCTTCAATTTTTAAAGAATATTTTTAGGAATATTTTTCATCTTTAATCACATAATATTTTTTCCATCCCCTCATCTCCCAATAGACCTGCAGTCCAGGCCACAATTTGTCTATAATTATCTGTATGAACCGACATAATCACACATGCATTGCCCGCATCCATTCGCTTGTGGTCAAGGACCATTTGGCCACGGGTATGTTGTCCCGTCAACTCCACAGTGGCATGATATAAACGGCTCCTAGTGATTATGAGTTCCGGAAATAGAAAGGCTGCAACCAAGACCGCATCACAAATAATCCATTTCGCATAACCCAAGGGACGTAATAAGGAATTCTCTACAGTGTTCATTAAATGCATGACTTTTGAATCGACCTTGGATAGCACTTCAAAACGCCAATCCTAGGAAGAGAGATCAAAGGGAACTGGTTATTTTTAATTCTACATAAAATATCCTATTTTTTTACAGCATCATAATTCATATCACCATCAATACAGGTCTCCCAGGGCACCACCATCATTGGTTTGGTGAAACTTTCAAAGACAATGTGGGCAGCCTCTGGATCCAGGCGAAAATTGAATTCCGCACTTTTCGTTACATTTCCCTTGCCTTGGAAATAAAGTAGTAAATTTTAGTCTTTTGAATTTATATTTGAGGATTTTTTAAAGTGTTACCTCTGTAATTCCCACCCATTATATAGATATTCCGCACCTTGTCCAAAAACTGTTTTCCGTACATATTAATGCAAACAGCAAAATTGGTTAGGGGCCCAACCAATATGAAATCGATTTTATTTGGATGCTGAAAAAATTTCATTAAAAAACATAGATTTTTCGGAAGCGTCGTACTAAGCGATTATGGAATATTTTTTCTTTCTAAGACGTGGATTTTTTTTAAATATTTTTTAAGGACCTTAGACCCTAGAGAATAGGTCTTGAGGGACATCCTCAATATTTTTTATGGAACAAAAAATAAGCCGGATTTTTAAAGAAGATTTCGTGTCGGTAATATTTACCTTACAAACCTTTTACCTTACAAACCTGGACCTTTGTCACATACGGTAAATTTGCAACATCTCCAAAACCATCTAGACCATGAAAATGTCTATGTTCGAAGTTAGGTGGTATTATGGAATGGTCACAACCTCTATAGACTGGTATCTGAAATAAAATCAGAGATTAGTAAGGCACCAAATTAATTCCCGTCAACTTACATCCATTCGATCGATTGCATCCAAAACCCTCAGAGCATTTTTCACACCATTATCCACCCCGCACACAAGTGACACCAAGTATCTTAAAAGGCTTCACTGCACCATTAACTCTCCTCCCCTTGAGAGCCAAATCGTTCAGCAACTTATCTGCCTTGATTAACATTATCAAGGCCCAGGCATCATCGTTACCGATATCACAATCAAATATCACATAATTGTCTTCCATTTTTTTTGCTTTTCGAATTTTAAAAAGAAAATTAATAAAAATTTAGCTACGTTTCTCCAACTTCGACTAATTGACAACTGGTAACAGCGAAATCTAATTATGCCATCTAATATTTTAACAGTGAAGCTGCTGGTAGGCTTGTCTGGCATTGTTTACAATTTAGAAAACATAAAGATTAAAATTAAATGTTTATTATCATCATATTATAATTATCATAACTAGTATTATGGTGGTAGTAGAAAAAAAGGCTGAATATTATATGTAAAAACAGTGTTGAACAAAAATATGGGGACACTGAAATTAATACCTCCTAAAAATATTCTTTAAGAAATCTTCGCTTATGTTCCTAAGACCCTCCTAAAAATATTCTTTAAAAAATCTTCGCTTATGTTCCTAAGACCCTCCTAAAAATATTCTTTAAAAAATCTTCGCTTATGTTCCTAAGACCCTCCTAAAAATATTCTTTAAAAAATCCACGCCTATGTTCCTAAGGTCCTCCTAAAAATATTCCTTAAAAAATCCACGCCTATGTTCCTAAGGTCCTCCTAAAAATATTCTTTAAGAAATCCACGCTTATTGTTCTTAAGGTCCACCTGAAAATATTCTTTAAGAAATCCACGCTTATGCTCCTATGGTCCTCCTAAAAATATTCTTTAAGAAATCCACGCTTATGCTCCTATGGTCCTCCTAAAAATATTTTTTAATAAATCCACACTTATGTTCCTAAAGTCCTCCTAAAAATATTTTTTGAAAAAATCCACGCTTATGTTCCTTAGGTCCTCCTAAAAATATTATTTAAAAAATCCACGCTTCTTAAGGTCCACCTAAAAATATTCTTTAAAAAATCCACACTTATTGTTCTTAAGGTCCACCTAAAAATATTCTTTAAAAAATCCACACTTATTGTTCTTAAGGTCCTCATAAAATATTATTTAAAAATTCACACTTATGTTCCTAAGGTCCCCTAATAATATTCTTTGAAAAAATCCACGCTTATGTTCCTAAGGTCCCCCTAAAAATTTAAAGACCAATTGGTCTGTATAGAGACCACAGGTCTTTATAAAGACCAATTGGCCTGTATAGAGACCAGAGGTATTTATAAACACCACTTGGTGTGTAAAGATACCAGAGATCTTTATAAAGAGCAATTGGTCTGTATAGAGATCAGAGGTCTTTATAAACACCATTTGGTGTGTATAGAGAGAAGAGATCTTTATAAAGACCAATTGGTCTGTATAGAGGCCAGATGTCTCTAAAGACCAATTAGTCTGTATGAAGATCAGAGAATTTTATAAAGACCAATTGGTCTGTATAGAGACCAGAGGTCTTTATAAAGTCCAATTGGTCTGTATACAGACCAGAGATCTTTATAAAGACCAATTGGTCTGTATAAAGATCAGAGGTCTTTATAAGCACCATTTGGTGTGTATAGAGACCAGAGATCTTTATAAAGACCAATTAGTCTGTATAAAGATCAGAGGTCTTTATAAAGACCAATTGGTCTGTATAGAGAGCAGAGGTCTTTTTAAAGATAAATTGGTCTGTATAGAGAACAGAGGTCTTTAAAAAGACCAATTGCTATGTTTAAAGACCAGAGGACTTTAAAAAGGCCTATTGGTCGGTGTATGGAGCAGATGTCTTTATAAAGTCCATTTGGTCTGTATAGATACCTCAGATCGTTATAACGGTCAATTGGTCTGTATTTCACTTTACAATAAAACTACACAACTTTCGTTTTTTTTCTTTTTCCAAGTGTTTTATTCACTTATCACTTTATTTGAAACCATTTATTTTCATTATTGTACATTAAATATATAGGTATGTGTAAATATTTTTTTGTTTAAGACATTTTTCCAAAATATTCAATACACCTTTTTGTAATACCTATTTTTTGTATATATAATATTCATTGTATAATTTTTAAGGACATTTTTATATTCAATACATTATTATAAATATTTATTTGTATATTGGTTTTTCAAATACATATTTATTGTTTTCGTTTTTGTTGTTTGTTTCTGTTATAATAGGATCTCTGGTGTAAACATTTAAAAAACACTTATACACTAAAAATTAACATTTAATGGTTTTATAATTATAATTCCCAAATATTTTACACAGTCATAATTTTTATTTTGTTTTAAAACACCACAATAATTTCATTTTTTTATGTTAGTAACATTAAGGTATACCAATTTGTAAACATTTATTGAGACATCTTTGAGATGAGGTATATTTTTATTTTTGTGTTTTTTTTTTTAATAAATAAAATTTCACAGATTTGGAATAAGACACCGAAATAAAAATAAGAATAAACTAAACTCGAATTCAGTATCTCAGTGATATTTTAATACAAAAATCAAATGATTTTTGAATTAATGGAATATTTCTGAAAAACATTGATTAAAAAATAATAATTTTTATATTTTAAACTTTCCTACAAATTTCATTTTTTAATTATTTTATAAAATATCAAAAATAGCATTCCCACTTTTGTACCTTATCCGTTACATACTAATAAAATATCGTTGATTTAGTAATTTCTCTGTAGATGGTGCTGTTGTAACATGACTTATTTCATTTATCAACAGAAGAAATAACGTCTTATGAAGTGTAGAATAATTTCAGGCTGAAATGATTAAATGAGTTCATATATTGAATATGGAGAGAAATGTGGAATAATATAGTAAATTTGGACAGAAAATAAAAAAAGTTAAATTTATATCACAATTTTGAGAATATACTTAAACGATCATCAGCTCATATAGAAACGACCGATTAGAAGAAATTCCTAAAAAATCTCTTTAAGTGAAAATTAGCAAAAAAGGCCAGATCTTGATAACTTAATTTGGCCATTATAAATACCTGAGGACTCTATACAGACGAAGAGGGCCCAAAAAGGGCAAAGTGGTCTTTATAAAGACCATAGGTCTGTATATAGACAGATTTGTCTTTATGAAGGCCTGAGGTCTCTATACAGATAAATTAGTCTTTATAAAGACCTGAGATGTCTATACATAAAAAATTGATTTTTATAAAGACCTGAAGTGTCTATACCGACCAATTGGTCTGTATTAAAACCTGAGGTCTCTATACAGATCAATTGGTTTTTATGAAGACCTGAGGTATCTATAAAAATCAGAGGTCTTATAAAGACATGAAGTATCTATACAGACCAATTGGTCTTTAGAAAGACTTGTGGGTCTCTACACAGACCAATTGGACTTTATAAAGACCTGTGGGTCTCTACACAGATCAATGTGCCTTTAAAAAGACCTGCGGGTCTCTATACAGACCAACTGGTCTTTATAAAGACCTGTGGTCTCTATACAGACCAACTGGTCTTTATAAAGACCTGTGGTCTACGGACGTATGTTTTGTAGTTTTTATGGTCTCAGAAATTAATTCTAATTATATCCTCAAAAGTATATCTTATTTCATTTAAACACATGTACAGCATGTACCACAGAGTGAAGTAGGATATAATTAAATATCCCAATTCAAAAAAAAAAAAAAAAAAATCTGCAACTTTTGCGTTTAAATTGGTTATAAAAATGGAAAAGGCGAATTACATTTTTTAAGGTTAGTTTTGGTTTCCCAAAATAACACATTTTAGAGAAATGAAGTTAAGGGAAAAGATAATCTATGCATATCGAGTAGGATATAATTAAATATTGATTTATCAATTCTAGAAATTTTCTGAACGTTTTTGCGTTTAAATTGGTTATAAAAATGGAAAAAAACGATAATTGCATTTTTTAAGGTTAGTTTCAGTTTTGCCCAATTTCACCCAAAATAACACATTTTAGAGTATGAAGTTCAGAGAAAAAATAATCTATATCGAATTTCACTATAGGTCACCGAACATAATAAATCTGTATATGTAATATAAACCGTTTAATTACAGCTAGACAATTTAGGTATATTAAATAAGAAAATATTTTGTGTTATTTTTGAGGTTAGTTTTCAATTGTCCACCGTTTGTCCCACAAGGCTCCGTTTTTAAAGAATGGTATTCAGGAGAAAAATATTCTATATCAAATTTCACTATGGGTCACTGAACAAAAGAAATCGCTAGATATTGTATATTGCATTATATACGGTACTATCAAATTGGTTATACATGTGGGAAAATGATAACTACATTTTTATGGTTAGTTTTAGGTTTTGTCCGATTTTCCAAAAATTTATACATTTTAGAGGGGCGAAGTCAAAGAGACAAATATTCTATATCAAATTTTAGTATAGGTCACGGAACATAAAAAAGTCGTATATAATATTTATCAATCAAATATATAATATAAATCATTCTGAACATTTTACAATTTCTTTAGCTGGTTTCCAATGTTGGTTTGTTTAATTTAGATGTATGAGTGAGTTGTTGATAAATAAATATTCAGTACAGTATAAATTATTTCGAGTTCAATAATCTTCGCTTTCTTATATTATCTTCATTTCAAGTAAAAAAAAATAAAAATACAATAAGAAAAAAATAATTCTTTTGTTTTGAATTTTGTGGGTAGATTTATTTTTGAAAAATTGACTTGTGTATAACACAAACTATACAAAAAATAATAATAATATTACATGTAATAATAATAATAAAAAATATAGGGATTTTTTGTTCTGGTAATAGCTAACAATTTATGGATATCGATAATAATTATTACAATAATAAAAAAAAACATAAAAAATCATTTAACAGACAATCTATAGAAAATAAAAGATATTGATATTATTATTATTAAAAAAGTAAAGTTCTCCAGATAACCACAGCTTA